ATCTAGATAAAACTATTCTTTATTATTATTTTATAGGAACAAAATAAGTTGGTATGAAAAATCTCTTCAGGTGCAAATCTAATCAATCCTCTGCTTAACAAGCTCTGAGATTTGCAGTGGGTATCTCTGGGAGTAAACCCCCAGTCTGACCCTTTTGAGACTGGAGGGCTTGGGAGAAACGGGGCATTTTTAGGACAGAGTCTGGTGGGTGGGAAGCCAGGCAGAATGAAAAGTTGCCACAAAGTAGTGCTGCATGGAGACATAGAAAGGTCTTGAAATGGAAACACTCTTCTTGTGTCTGAGATCCAGGTGGATGGGCAGGGGGAAGAGGAGTAAAGCAACAGAACTGGAATGAGAAATACAAAAAAATCCTCCTGCTTTATGATGACACAGAAAAAAGGACCATCTTGACTATTTAACTTTGTCTACCTTCAGCATAGCTGCCATGCCTTTAGGCTCTTTTAAGCACAGAGCAACAGTTGACGTTAACATTGTAGTCAGCCCAAGTAAATGATATAATACTTGAACACAAGCATAGAACTGTACATTTTTCTTACTGTTTTCATATATTGCGCCTTTTCACATGGATGTCTAAGTGTTTTGCTTCTATACTTTACCTCTACTATGAACCATCCTTTCTCAGCCACAAGAGTTAGAGGAGACACAAATTTTCCTTTTTTGTAGAAAAACCTGTCTGGAATATCTTGTATGTTATAAACGTCCATGTGTTCCACAGCTTTCAATTTTTTATGTATCTGCAGAGAAAACAAACGTTAGGATACCGTATGGCTGTAAAGAGCATATACGCACCTGCGGGTACGTGGAAACACCTGACTTTGTAAAATGACTAATCCCCTTAATGGGTAATCATCGGCACATCCAAAGTGGGACTTCGCATGTCCAAAGATGACGGTTGTGCAAAACCTGCTTCTGTGGTTTAGGAGGTTCTGAAAACTTTGATCACAAACACATGGGAATGCATGAATTAATGTGTTATGTATATTTATAATAGATGCACTCACAAAGGTATGCATGTGGTACGTCAAGAGAGAGGCCAGCAGAAACCAACCCATCGCAGGAGACGGTAAGCTGAGTGGTGAAAGATGCTCAAAGGCACCATGTGGACTGGGTACTGATGCGGAAAAGGGATATTGCCTTTGGCCTCTGCCACTCATTCCCTCTTTGCGCTCTTGAGTGAACAATTAATGTCACCTCACCTGTGTTTGTTACACTTAACCAGTCAACCCCTAACAAAAGGGATTGATAGTGCTTAGTTATCTGCTTCATTAATCTGTGAGATTAATCAGCCAACGCCTACGGCCTTGAAGCTGCACAATGCCGTACAAGTGGTTTATCAATTTAATAAAATAAAAATAAAAATAAAAAACACTACTACTACTACTACTACTACTACTACTACTACTACTACTACTATCATGCTGTCTGGAATATAATCACACAAATGTGGTTAAACCACAAATTATTCAGAAAAATATTTTAAATGCCTAAAGAAGATGTTCATATGCCATAAAGAAGGCAGCTATTGGGAGTCCCCAGAGTATATATCTCGCTCTTTTGCTTAAATTTAAATAATCTTTAGGAATAAATAGCTCAATTCTGCAAAGAATGAAAGGTCCTTCACTAGCCTTTTAGCTAAGTCTCCCTTGTGTGTATATGTGTGCAAGAGATTTCCACTGATTGGCAGTTGCCATAAGGACGACACCAGGGTCTGATGGTGCGACTCAGCCAGACCCTTCCGCCATGACCTGGACTAGAGAGTGGTCCTGGTGGTTCACCAGTACTTCTGGTGCTTCAAAATGGGATAACTCTTAAAGGTCATAACCACTATGTTATGATCTAATTCCTAAATATGACTCTTTAAAGTGAATTAACAATAGAGGAATCTGGCTATTAGGAAACAGAAAATCAACTTTATTTCACTTAAAAAAATGAAATAAGTTCTTAAATTTAAGTTAATTCTTACTCCAGTAAGAAGTCCGAAAAATAAATGAAGATAGAAAACAAAGCCATGGTGTGAGGCACGGTATTCTATTCTCCTTAGGGATATTAGGCTGTTCAATGAAAGAGAAACATGTGCTTAAGAGCTTTCTTGGATGAAACCCCATGTCTGCCTGAAGTCGCACCTTATACTTGCCCTTGTTTGAAGGTCTGACCTACAAAAATAGGGATCTATGAGTTAAGGCTGAGGAGAGCATATATAAACGCTGTGATCCCCTGCAGGAACTTTGAGCAAATTGCTTATGCATGCCTCTAAGACAACCTTCAATTCTGTCACTAATTTGAAATGTTCACAATATCACAGCTATACAATTCCTAGAGAGCCTGTTTGGGCACAAAAATTAGCAAATACTCGCTTCAAAAAAATGCGCAAGCTACACTATACTGGAACTGGCTAAAATTTTATATAGAAAACAAAATATTTCACCTGGAGTATGGACTGCCCATTTTGTACACATGTATGTTCTGAGGACAGCAATAATGACTTCTCAAGCATTGGTTTCTGGTTAAACTGTGATGTACTAGTCTATTAGTTACAGATGCTGCATACTTTTCAAGTGGTTTCCTTTTTTTTTTTCTGTATTGTTTTAATTTGTCAGTCAAAATCCTGCAGTTCTAGCCTTGGGCTTTTGTGGTTGATTCAATCCAACATACTTATTCATCAAAATTCTTCAAAAGAGAATATTGTAAGAAATTTATTTTTTATACTTCTGGTCTGATGGAGTTAATTCCTCAAGCTCTATGGGAGTTTACTGGAATATGAATGCCTGACCTCCTCCAGATCATTTGAAAATCCCAGCTAGAGTGTCAATAAATTGACTAATATATATATAAAATCCTAAAAATGGATTTTGAACTAAAATCCTTCAGCTATGTATCAGGAGCACATAGTGGTGGGGTTTGAAAGCACATATCTGTGTCAAATATCAGTGAAAGATCATGTTTATTAATTTGCCTGGCATGACTTTCCTTCAGAAACACTTCTCTGGAAGTGTTCAAAAAACATGTGGATGTGGCGCTTCAGGACATGGTTTAGGGGACACGGTGGCGCTGGATTAATGGTTGGACTTGATGATCTTGAAGGTCCTTTCCAACCTTGGTGATTATGTGATTATGTGATTATGTGAAACCAGCATCACAAGAGTGTCACAGGATCCAAGTCTGACTCCTGGTAAGAGCTTCAGGCTGATTTTTACACACATCTCTGAGAGTGGGATTTGGATGTTACAAGCAAACAAAAGACACAATTGTCATAAAAAACAAGGGAACGTAAGACTAAATAAATACGAATAAGCTGTACTTACCTCTGCGTGCTTCTCAGGAGCTGGCCAGAGGCTCACAACAGGACCTCGGTCTTTCATTTGTATGGTATCACTCATATTGATATAGTTTTTCAGCTCAATCACTTTGTCCGCCCAAGAGATGTCTGTCATCCCATGATCGGAGAAGAGGATGACATTGAGGTCATGCTGAAGGCCCTTGCTCTGTGAAGCGAGTGCATGACAGATGTTACGGCCGGGTAAGCGTTTCACACCGTCCGTGCCCACTGGCAAATTTTAAAAACCGTTAGACCTTCACTGATTTACTGGAGGTTGGCCAGAAGGAGCATGGCCACAAATGCCCTGCGGTGTGCTTTGCCACCGCCCATGATGGTGGATGTCCACTTGCTGCCCTGGAAGAGTCTAAGAGGTTAGCGCCAAAGAGAGATTTGCCAAAATAAATCCACCCCCCCGCTAAATAACCGCACGCTACATCCCAGTACCACAAACCAGTTGTCCCAGTCGGTCTTAGACAGGATTTTATCCCACTGTTCTCATCTGGAGACCAAAACGCCTGGGGAAGAGCAACTTTGACATGGTACCACCTGTGGCAGGGGTGTTTCCTCTGCTCCTCCCAAACACAACCACTTAACATTAGAGCTTTTATAATTTAGTGAAGCTGGAAATATATTTTCCTCTTCTCATTGAAACACAAGAAAAATTCTAACGTGCATTTATCATTTTCAGAAATATCCATAGAATTGACATTTGCCCAGAAGCTTGGCATCCTCCTTTTCTTGCTGCAAGATCATTCAGATAATGTTTTTTAAAGCTAAGTTTAAAGTACAGAGTTCTGAGTGGTGCCATAAAAACCACTATAAAAGTTAATTGTCTGATTCCACAAACCTTAGGAAGCGAGCGCTTTTGATTCATTCCCTTACTATAAATCCCAGCCGGCAGCACAAGTTATAAACAGAGCAACATGTATATTGGTTTATGGCTTCCCGGGGCTATCGGTGTAATAATCCACTAGGAGGATTATAATGCCATCAACAAAAATAAAAATCAGAGGAATGATGCCTTGACTTCCACATGATCTCGGTAGCCTCTGTTTCTCAGGAAATAAAAGTTTACAGCCAACGCATTCAATTAACAGGCATTAAATAGGCTCTCGGCAGTGCCACAAAGAATAGTTTTAAAAGTCTTTTCCAAATGCATCCAGGAGATGGGTTTTTGGACACCACTCACCTTGATGAGCGAGAGCATGTTGGTCAAGGCTTTGTCCACCTCCTTCAATGCGTTCTTCCGCTGCTGGGATGAAGGGCCGTAGTGGTGGCCTTCCACGTCAATGCGCTCATAGTACACCGCAGCCATCTCGGCACTGCCGTTGCTGGAGGTGGGAGGGAGGGGAAGGAGTGAGAGGCTGACGCACATGAAGACCTCCCGGCTGCTGGCATTATTGTCCTCACCGGCACACAGAGCCACAAAACCCCATTTTCAACCTCCAGCCTGTGATTTCCTACCTGCTGTCACACGGCTGGGCTCGTTATTCCCACCCGGAGCCTCCTGAGTTTGCTTGAGACTCCCATTGGAGGTGCCAGGTAGAGACAGCCATGTGCAAGCACAGGCTGGCCTGGCAGCCCTCTGCTACCTCTTGGAATTAGGAAGGTGGCTTTTCCTTTAGGGAGAAAGAAAGACCCAGAAGAAATACTAATTTCTGTGCTGAATGACCTTATTAAAAGGATTGTGGGAATTACCAGTTAAATGTCCTTTAATTAAAGTTTGGCACTTCTGGCTTTCTCCTGTGTGAGGTCTTCCAAACCACCAAGGTCAACTCAGGACTGGCTCTTTCACGACCTTGCAAAATCCGGAGTGGTATGAATTGGGGTGAGATTTTAGACGGGGTTTTTATTCAGGAATATGACCAAAGGGAAAGTAAGGTAATCTCAGAGTTGCAACTAATCACACATTCCTGCACTGAATGCCCTCACTCTAATTAGTGGGGATTGCGCATACATCAGTGCTTAATTACATTTTCATGACCACTTTACAGTTCACTGTAAAGCTCCCTGAGAGTAGTCATGTGGATAAAATCGCAAATCTATGCTCATGAAGTTCAAACCCAGTCTTTTCCTACGGTGCTTAATATATGACAGGGTGTGCCATCCATAATACATGCCCTCATCCAGATCAAGATCCCTACAAAAAGACTTCGTGTGATGTCCTGACAGGTCCAGCTTCTCTGATTAAAGACACGTGAGTAGTCTGGTGTAATGAGTGAGATAGAAGGGAAAAAGTCAGAGGTGCAGGACTGACTGAATGAATTAGGGTCTGTGATTTGCATTTGTAAGTTTGTGGAGGGCCTCAGAGGAGCAGTCCTGTAGGAAGCTGGAGGTCTCTGCTGTGGTGGGAATTACTCCACCGCTAGCCCTGCAGAACAGTGTTCTTTCTCACTTTTCGTGATTTTAAGATCATTCAAACAAAGCAGCCCTTCCCTCCCCCCAGTTTAATTTTAAGCATTACCTTCCATCCATATCAGGCATAAATTAATTTCTAAAATTTAACCCTGTAATTTCTGTATTGCATACACAATCATTGAACCTATTGAAACAGTTTTCTTCTGCTGCAGTGCCTGTATTAATTAGCTACTTGGACTGCTTTGTGTCTTCTCAGGTGTAACTAAATGATCATTTTGATCAAGATAGAAGCTACGAAAGAGGTTTATTGCATAAGACAAGTGGTCTTATTTAGGCTGCGGTGAGATTTCTCAATGAGGGCTCAGTGCTGTGAGGATGGATGTTCAGCTTTGCACATGGCTTCAGTGGGACAAGCTCCAGTTACGCGGCATGCTTAGGAGTTTGCAGGACTGGGTACAGCACGTGCAGAGCTTATAAGATTGAGTTTCACTTTGTTTCCATTTTTTGCCTGTTTTCCTACAAAAACTGGGCATCTGTGATCGTGGCTTGCATGGGAGAAGTAATCTGTCTTTCTTCTGTGTGTTGGTCCTGTCTTCTCCCATCACCAGTAATTTTGAAAAGAAATGGCTAAGGAAAGTTTGCTGAAGAAAGCTGGACATCATCAATGGCAATACCAAAAGGGTTTTTATATTTTATCAGCGCACTTTGCAAGTACGGCGCAATCTTCATGCAACTTGTCCAGGAAGGTGGGTATATTACAACAGCCCTTAAATTATACTTGTGGAAAAGACATAAAGGAGGTTTTAGTTTTACTTGCCAAAAAGGGGTACTTGACTTAGTTTTGAATATTTTTGGTTTAAATAATGGTCTCAAAGCACCTGTTTGAAAAGCCTGGAGAATATTCCTGAAGGGTGGTTTCCTTTGGTTGCAAGAGGAGCTTAGTGGCTCCCTGATGAGTTAGGTACCCCTGCCCTTCCAGAGGGCGTTGATAAAACTCCCTTCTACCCCGGCAAAGTTAAGATGGGTGAGGACATTCCCATGCCCAAACTCAAGTTAACCCCTAGGCCACCATGCCACAGCAAAGGGCTTACACTCTCTACCCTGAAGCCCCTGTAAGGTTTGCTAATGGTGGGAGCATAAGTGCAGTTCATTAACCACTAATACCTGCCATTAGGGCAACTGAGCAAGGTACTGCTCCAGGCCACAGACTGCCCTCGCCACAGGCTGTTTTCCCACATAAAGCTAGCACCAGCCTCAGCCTAATAGGCTTTGTCAATTAGTTGGGGTGTGGAAAGGAAACACACTGGATTTGCCAGCCTTTGAACAGCATCAAGAGCCAGAAGGTCTTGCAAAAGGTGCAGATGACAACAAAAGGCAGCTCAAGACTCTTCTACCCAGGATGCCTACTCCTGCCAAATGAATACACCTACAATAAAGGCACTTCAGAGATTTTGCTTCTTATGGGCTGGCCCAGCAGCACTAAAAATTCTTTGATAAATTTTAAAGGTTTTTTCCCTGATGGGAAAAACAACTGAGAGAAAGGATAAGGAAAACTTAGATGTTTTTTTCACTGTTCGTTCTCTACCCTCCTTTCTTACTGCTGCAGTATTTACGCCCACAACTCATCATTAATTTTATCGATGATTGTTAATTTTTCCTCTTTCCTACCTTGCTGCAGACAGGACACTTAGTTTAAAGGAAAGGAACCCAGGCAGAAATTCAAGAGGGGATGCTGTGTAAATGGACATCAGAGATGGGACCTCCCGCGACTCCAGCACAATCTGTCGGATTTGGGCTCCTCAGAAGGCTATAGCTGGTGTTTATGGCAGACATTGTGTGGCAGGGATTCACTCTTCTCTTGAAATCACCAGCTTTCACCTCTTGTGAGCTGCCTCATCAACACTCCTGTGTTCCTGCCCTTTTCTTCTCTTCAACTGAAGGCAGCAGCAAGCAGCCTTGTGACTCGGGGTGAACTAGCTATTGAAACCTTTTCAACGGGCTTGAGGTACCCAAAAGAGCAGGTTGAAGGCCTGGAACTTTTAACAGGTTGTGCCTCGCTTTTAATCATGTTCACAATTACAAAGCTGCAACTCATCCTGAGCAGCCTTATGCACCTTGCTTCATAGGAACCAGACAGGGAACTTCAAGCATGTCCTGACCCATCCCCAAATGATACCCGACCAAAAAGCTTTCCATGGTAATTCTGGGATTCCACCAGAAGTCAGAGCTGGTGTCTGTATTCAGTTTTCCTTTCCCTCCTCTATTCACTCCATTAGAAGTGTTGCAGAAGCTCCAGAAAGCCTCCTATGGCACATATGAACTCCTCCTCTCACGTGCAGATAGCTTTCTTAAAATATAAGCTACATCATTTCAGAATCAAATGTCTCACGTGTTCGGAGGCAGCTTCGCTCTAAGACCTGTGCTGTAGATGACACTGGGAGAGTCGTTAGGAGCATCTGTGCAGCAGGACCCAGTGCGCAACTGAGAGCAACGTCTCCAGCAGTGCGCTCATAATTTTGGAGCCTTTATTTCAAGGACAAGCATTTGAATATGAAGCTCTTCAGATTCAAATCACTATGGCAGTTTGCAAGCAACATATTAGAAGTGCATCCTAGGAGTGGATGAATTATGGAACCAATGACGTTTTAAAAGAACAAGCTGAGTTATAGCTAAGGGAAGGCATTGGGTCCGCATGAGGCTATGTAATCTTCCCTGAATTTACAGGGTGCATGGAATTGTCCCTTGTTAACATTTGGATGAGAGATGGTGGAACTGGAAAGCTGGAGGTGGAGCATACGTTTTTCCTAGGAGCTGGTTGAGAGATATATTCCCATCATTCCCACCAGTTGGACTAGATGACTGTTGTGGGTCACTTCCAACTGAACTATTCTACCCTACCCTACCCTACCCTACCCTACCCTATCCTATTGTCATATTTGCACAAAATGAATGCCTGATACAAAATCATTTTGCCTGAGATGTTCTGAAGTGCAGAAGGAGCCAAAGCATCGGTCTTGTAAACAAATGACAGGAGCTGAATTTCTGAATTTCCAAATTACCAGTTCTCTCTAAATCCAAGCATTTGGAAGTCTGCTCTTGCAGTGAACAGATACTCACAGACTGATCTTGAAGTTGTTTGAAACAGCAAATCAAAAACAGTAAGTCAGGATGTCTCCTCTATGTTGTAACCTACACATGGAAAGAGGAGCACATCTTTCCTTCCAATCTTCTTAATGTAAGGGCATATCTCTGTAATGGTCATGTTTCTATGACAGTATTATAAACCAGTCTCAGCCTCCATCTCCCTACCTGGGAGCCAATCCTGAAAATTACGCTACAGCAAAGCTGACAGTGAACCCAAATGCTCATGCTTGAGAGAGGAAACCCCACACCACAGAAATGCAGTGACGTACCGCAAAGACTCGAGAGCATCGCTGATGGCATCCGCAAAGTTTTTGTCTGTTGGGACGCTGAAGTACTCGCGGCAATAACTTGGTCTGACTCCAAGGATTTCCACCTCGCAACCTACAGGCAAAAAATGTGGTAACTCTGCTGTTCCACCTCAGTCACAGACCCCACACCACGGGGTCCAAGTTCAGGTTTGTAAGTTCCCTGTGACATTACTTGCCTTACACCTTCCCTGCAGGAAACCTTGTGGTTGCGAAGGGAAAAGGGGAGAGAGGTTGGTTTGATGAGTGCTTGTAGCAAACCGTACATTGGGTCCTTTTATTTCCCTCTCTAAAAGCAAGGTCTCGGTGTGACCTTCCCACGATAACACTCTTGATTCCCTCGTGGCAGACGGTTTTCACCTAAATTGCTAGCTTGTTTTCATTTTAACTACTGCAGCCACATAGCCTCATTTCCAGGCTTCCAACATAATAGATTTAGGTATTTTTCCCTGAAAGTTCAGCAAATACTTTCCAGTTAGACACACTGTATCTTACGTCGTCGTAATATCCTCTATAAACCGCATTTTATTATGTGACACTGGCACTCCACTATTAAATCTGTTTCCCAGGAGGTCTTATTAAAACAGTATAAACCAATTAACTCTCTTGGTAACTTGCAGCCTTCCTTGCAAAATACAGTCTGTTTTGTGGCCCAGAAATTTATGGCAACAAATCCTACAGGAGAACACGACCCTGAACACACGAAACATGTTTTTGTGGGTTATTTTTACCCTTTTGCTCTCCAGTTACTATGCTGCTGAATAACATTAATATTTTAAATAACTGTGCTTTCAGAAACACTGGATTTATGCAAATTGTCTTTCAAGAGCCCCAGAGTCTTCCCATCACTGTTAGGCTTTTTCTGGTGTACTCCTGGGGCACAAGGAGAAAAAAAAAAAAAGAAAAGATATCTTTTGAAAAATGGTCTTTGTATACAGCAATACAATCAGGTCAAAAAGGCAGCTCTAAGCCATCGCCTGAACCTGCCTACATTTGGGTCGCTTTGCTTCTCCTTTGGGATGAAAGGAATAGGCTTTCAGGACTGTCGTAAGTTGACCCGTTGCTTGGCGGGGAAGATGGTTGTGCAGGAGGTGTAAGTACAGAGCGGGCACTAGAGCAAGCACAGCTACTTTCAGGGATGATTTACAGTGGTTTGCTTTCCGGGACACTCAGTAAAGAGAATTTGTCAGTGTCTTGCATCTCAGCCCGCGTGAGCTCACGTCGCTGAGGTGCAATACTGGGACATGGGGAAAAGCACGCCACTTCCAGGCTAAGCTGGCCAAGGAACTTCTGACCGTGACTTCTCAGGAGTACCATGAAAGGTTAGGAAAATGTCAATATTTAAGCTTAGGAAAATTTAGAAAATCATCTCTGATTTGCAGCAAGCCAGATATGTCAGGTGGAGGTTACCCTTTCCAAAAGTTAAAGAGCCTTATCATACATGACAGATTCAGTCTCTTTACACAATGGTCCACGGTAGCGGCTCCCAGGTCTCCACATTCTTTGTGTGTTTCAAGTGACCCCAACTATTATGATTAATTGTTTGTAAGAATTAATTATTTGCAATAATAAACTGAAAATGTAGTCAACTAATTTATTTTTCTGTAAAAACATATTTACATCATTTTGAACCTCTATCTAATTTTCATTTTTATAAAAATTGTGGAAGTGTGTGATGGCGTTCACTTTTCGTTCTTCCCCTGTTGCCCCAAACTTATACGACTTAATCCTTCCCTTTCTGAATGGAGATACTTTAGCATTTATCTCTGCACCATGAAAGTAATCTACAACCTGGATGAACAGCTTGCAGATGACTTGACAAGAACTCACCCTCCATACCATCCCACAGTAAAACTTCTATACATCTGTACACAGTACCTGCAAGAAATTACGTTGTGCAACAGAGACAGGCCCCAGCTGCTACCTAACCAAATAATCAAAAAAACGTATTCCATAAATGACCTGAAGTCATCTCAAGGAAGGAGGAGCCCTTGCCCCCAAAAGACATCATCTTTTGCATGATGTCCTGGGTGCTACTGGCAGCAAAACGTGGGTTTTCAGCTACCTCAGATGCTAGAGGTGATGCAGTAGTCCTCTGTGGGCTTTTGCAGTATTACAAGACTGAACTGGAACTTCAGAGCCAGTTTTTCCACTGACACTTGAGTCTGGGAAAAGATTAGCTCCAAAGCCAGGCAAGAAGTTAAGGACGCAGTTGGAAATGCGTTGGAAATGCCTAGTATTTTAGTTTGGGTGGATGATTGCTCACAGCCAATGACTAATATGATGATCCAGCCTCTTTTTTCCTCTTCAGATTCTGACATCAGGTTATAATTTTCTCAGATATCATTCCTCAGAATTACTCACAAGATAATTATAACCGGAAGCATTAACCTTTGGGGGATCTGGGATATTTTAGTTGCTCAGATATCTTTGCTATTTCTAGATTGTCAAGTGTCCTGGTTTCAGCCAGGATGGAGCTGGTTTTCTTCGCAGAGGCTGGTGCGGGACTGTGTTTTGGATTTGGGATGAGAAGCTGTTGATAGTGTGCTGATGTTTTGGGTTGCTGCTGAGCAGCCAAGGACAGTCCAGCTTCTCGTGCTGGCCTGCCAGCGAGCAGGCTGGGGGTGCACGGGGAGCTGGGAGGGGACACAGCCGGGACAGCTGACCCAGACTGGCCAAAGAGATATTCCCTACCATACGACGTCATGCCCAGTACATAAACTGGAGTTGGCCGGGGGGCGGAAATCGCTGCTCGGGGACGGGCTGTCGATCACGGGGTGGTGAGCAATTGCTGTATTGGGCATCACTTGTTCTTGTACATTCCTTTGTTGGTATTATCATTGTTGTTTCCTTCTTTTTTTTCCTGTCCTATTAAACCGTGTTTATCTCAACCCACGAGTTTTTTCCCCAATTCTCTTCCCCATCCCACTGCGGGAGGGGGAGTGAGTGAGCGGCTGCGTGGTGCTTAGTTGCCGGCTGGGGCTAAACCACGACATCAAGTGATGAGCATGACATAAAAGACGACAGAGGCAGCAACAATTAGAAATAACATTGGCCACTAAATATTGGTCTTCAAGTGTGCAGTTCCTTGGCAGTAACACTGAAAACTCAGGCTGCTTAGATACCAAGACCTTCTTTTTTCTTTTGGTTTTTTTTTAGCCTCGGTGATGAACAGAACTTAACATCGGATTTTTTTATGTTAAGGCTTGTCAAAATTCCAAAATACTGGCCATGAAGGCCCTTTAATATTTAAATTTCATTTTGGTAGAAGCCAGGACAGATGGTAAATTTTCCCATTTAGATATTATGGGAAAGGAAATTTTAAAAGATTTGGAGCCAGACAAAGGAAACGTTAAGTTTTTCTTAGTTAAACTACAAATAAACGAGCCGTATTTACTAAGATGCAATATCAGATACCTTTCTGCACAGTTTTGTACGATGCTAAACCTTCACATAAAACCTGAACTACTGGAGCAGGAATAAGGACTTCTTTCACAGTGATATATAGGCTCCTCATTATCTATCTGACATGGAGACCTGAACCTCTGCCAGCTTTAAATTGCATTTCTAAACATTGATTTAACAGTCGAACATTTCATGTCATAACAGAAGGTTTTGAAAACTTTCCAGACCAGCTCCACGGTCTGGTAAATGTTGTGTTTAAATGGTGAAAGATTGGGTTTAAAGTCTTTTTTTACCCCTTTCTCTCATTTTCAGTGTTGAGAAAAGATGTCACTGCACTTCAGCTGAAGCAGTTGCATAGGCTGCTGAAAAATGGAGGAGTCTGAGGGTCTGGGATGACATCACCCACCGGGCTGAGCACGAGGAGCGATACAACGCTTTGACTTTGGTGGTACCACTGGGATGCTCTCGCACTCCTCTGGGGCTCCTCCATCCGCTGGAGCGGCAGTGCTTCGGACAGGCAACCTGGGCGTGAGGCTGTGCGTTTAACCCCAGGTATGGCGTTAGCTGTTGCGTTTTACTTCGCAAACAGTCAGAGGATACTAGGAATGCCCTGAAGAGCAGAAACTGCCTAATAAATGCCATGAAGAAAAGAGAAAAATGTCCCTACAAGCCAAGTGCTTACATTTTGGCAGAAGCGGCTGCTGGGACCCCCGGCACGGTGGTATTTTGGCTCCTCCGCTTCTAGAGGCAGGAGAGCTCAGGCTAATTCTGCCCACGAGTTGACTTTGTTGTGTTTATGTTGGGCTCACAGGTAAGCTGTGATGTTCACATCCGACAGCCCTCCTGCTCTGTGCCCCTGTTTGCTGGGGTCTGGGTGTTCTTCCTTTAAGCACTGAATACGCACGAAAGAGGAATATAGGAAAGAATATGAAGCGGCAGATTTTGGGTTCAGACATTGCAAAGCTTGGAACTGGCTGTGAGGGGAAGTGGCAGTGGTGTAAGTTAACCCTGGGAATCGGCTCGCTGGCATTCACAACTTGTTTCTGCTACAGTTGATCGGTCTGGTTTGTCTTCACTGCTGGCTAGAGAGAAAATAGCATCTTCCAGACCAGAGTGTGATGAATTTGGATGTACATTGCAGTTTCCCAAACTTTTCCTGTTTGGAATTTTATCAGATTTGCAAGATTCATTACTAAGCAGCAGTATATCCTCAGGCGGTAAAGTTAATCACTAATAGCAGATCCTACTCAGTGCAAACATTTGTGGAACCTCCACCCACCTTGGTTATTAAACCCTTATTATTCCTTTTGTTTTGTTTGGCATCGCCCCCCTGCCAAATGCCTTTTAAAAATTAGAGCTTTAAAATAATAAATCTAGAAGAAAAGATTACATCCTTACTATGGAACTAGAAAACAGTTCCAAAAAATCATATGAGGGAAATGTAATAAATAAATACTGTTGCATTTGGGTGACTTCTGTTTACTCCAGTTAGACCTGGACTCCCACTGTGGCCCAACTGCCTTGTGCTTTAGCTCAATAGTTCTACATCTGACCCTGCTTCCTGCCCTGTGCCTGACCCTGTATGGCCAATGTGTCCTTTGAGACCATGAACACACTTAAAAATAAGCATGTGCTCAACTGAGGCACCGATGACTTTGCCAAAGGTCATCTGTCACAGATAAATAATTAATGACAGACAGATGTACACATCATAGTCCACAGCTAAAATACCAGATCCACGCAAAAACTCCCACTGGCATCAGTAGGGCACAAACTCCCCCTCTGTGTCATAAGAGAGTCAATGCATACACTTGGCAGTGTAAGCACTGGAAAAAGGGATGGTCTGCTGTTCTTTGCAGTTTTCCACTAGAAACGGTAGATAGAGGAGTGTGAAGGGTGTACATATATATACATGCATATACACCTCATGTGTCTTCTCCCTGAGAGACACTGCTCAAAGGTCAACACGAAGGAGATAGATAGGTAAGGTCCAAAGGCATTTAATGGAACGTGATACTGTTTTTCTGGATTTCAGCAGCCCTCTGTAGACTGTTACATCTATTCAGTCCATAATTATACATACTCAGTGCAATTACATTAGTAGTCAAAAATGAATAGTCTGTACAAACAGGTCTTTTTGCAAATCTTCAGAAGAATTTCTACATTCTTGTATAATTTCTATACCCTACTATTTGCGTTGCTGTTAGGCTGCTTGGGTGATCTCCAGTAAGAAGATTTTTTTTGAGGGCTGATACAAAGCATTATATCTAGTCTGCAATTCCAGTCCCTTAGACTGCCTCAGACTCCCTAAGGCAATAT